AAAGGCTTACAGGGCTGCTCAACGGCGGACATGAATTGTAGCAGCCTAACTAGTCTTCCTGTGTCTTGGGTTTTCGCCTTTCTGCATGGTAATTTGCGTGTTTGTGGGGCATAAAATCAGTCACTGTTTTTGTTTGCCCGTAATGTTCAGCACTTGGGAGCTGTGTGTGTGCTCAGTGGCGGGGTCTTTTGTGGCTCTTTGCCCTGACCTCATAGTCCGCGTTGTCAGCGGCCCAGATCTCCTGCTTCTTGTGTGGGTTGTTCAAGCGCCTCTTCGCTTCTTCTGCCTCTCAATGTGTTCTGTGTGTGCTCTGTGGATCCGTGCCGTCCTCGACGCCGGACTCTGGCGGGGTGGTGTCGGGCTGCTATCCGCCTGGCAACACCTCGCCGGAGCTGGTGTTGACGGCGGCAGCGGCGCCAGCGCGCGGCTGGACTATCCTTTCACCTCCGCCCCCCTCACGACCGCCACCTTCGTCCAGTATGCTCCTGCCGGCCCGCTCTATGCGGGCGGGTCCGTCTCCTCTGTCAGTCTGTCTGGGTCCGTAACCTCGGCTTCTGGTAGGCGTCCACTGCATGTCGGCTACGTCGCTTTGGGACCTGGTATTCACGCTCCGGGCTAGTTGGTTTTTATCCGTGTCGGGATACTTACACAGCATTAACAAGATAGATTGTACAGTGTTTCTACAGATGTCGGTCTGCTTCGAAGTTTTACTGCGCTTCTACAAAGCTCACGCTTGTCAAACTAGGGCACTAATGTTTTGATGGCGCCGGAATCGGCGTAAGGTGGCCGGGTCTCGATAACGCCATCTGTCGTGGTTCTTCGGAAGCTAGGAAGAACATCCGCTGGGCAGAATCAGCGATTGGGTAGCGATCTTGCGGTCCCATCGGCGCCTACTAATGCAGCGTTGGCATGCGGAAGGCTTCATGGTACTCGTGTGGCTTTGATGGCACCACCACGCCGGCGTCACCACGCCGGATGTTCGCCGGGTCGCCACTATGAGCCTATGGCCGGCGGGATGACCGCTTCTTCCCGCTTTAACTGGAGGCCGCTCTGTGCCGCCGATGCGCCGCTCCGGAGCTGTGTCCGTGCTCGAGGTGGCGACGGGCGCGGAGGTACGGCGTGCGGCCGGCGCGGCTGCGCGCGGGCGGCTCAGACGCCGCTGGTCGCGTTTCAGGACGCGCCGCGACCTGCGCCTCATCTTCCCGGGCACCAAGTGGTGCGGCGACGGCACCCAGGCCCTCTCCATGTCGCACGTCGGAGGCCTGCACACGGTCGACCGCTGCTGTCGCTCCCACGACTATTGCCCATACGCCATACTCGGCCTCTCGGAGAAATACGGCCTCTTCAACTTTCGCATCTTTACCATTTCGCACTGCCGATGTGACCGGAGGTAGGACATCGCTCCGCTCGCGACACGTGGCCCGTCGACGAGCAAGGTAGGCTGCCGCTGATCACGTACCTAGTCCTCTGCAGCACCCCCTCCCCCCTCCCCCCCCCCCCACCGCCGGCGCTTGGATGCGGCGCTGGCCCCTGTCGTCAGTGCCGCCGTCCTGAGCAGCCTCTTCCGCCCTTCCACCTCCGGTCCACCGCGCGCGCTGGCGCGTCAGGGGCGGTTGAGTACACCGGGGCACCCCAACCCTCAGACACCGGCGCGACATCCTGGACGTGCTCCGCGTGCCCGGCACCAAGTGGTGCGGCAAGGGCTACACGGCCACTACGTACAACACGCTGGGAGGGTACGCCGGTGCCGACCGCTGCTGCCGGCACCACGATAAAAAATGTCCCTACTGGATCGCTTCCTTCGAGGAGAAGTATGGCCTCTTCAATTGGGGTATCTCCACTCAACCACTGCGCTTGTGACGAGAGGTATGTATGTCGCGACGTGAGGTGCGGGGCTCTCGCATCTGGGGGCTTCGCGCAGACAACCTGGTGATTTGGTGTTGTAGGGCGCGTCTGCATCGGGGCCATTAACGTGCTCATGTAATACCCGTTTGAGGATATACGCGAAGCTCGTTTCTGTGGGCGTCTTTTGCGTGTTATAATTTTTGCGCCCCGTTTGTTCATAAGGTGCTGTCTCAGCCGTTCAAGTGAGGTGTCGGAAACTGGCCACACTGCCCCCATGCACGCGGGCGGTGAACATTTTGGAATTTGACCGGGCTTGTTCTGGGAATATCTGCAGCGGGTCTGTGTTTACCACGTGCGGGTCAAAATCCGACCGCTTTCGTCCGATACTGGACATCGACACATCCCAGACCGTCAATGATTATGGTATGCCCCGCTGTTGACACGGGCCTAGGTGCCTCCTTGCTTATGTTTGAGCTCGAGCAGCTGTTCAGCCATGCATTGTGAGCGTTTGATCATCGATTTCTGCTTACCGTTGGCTGCGGAACTGGGCGTTGCATGCCAAAAGGGATGTCAGACGTGACGCTGTGCCGATTTGTCGCCAGGTTCCACACATGCCTAAAGATGACCGGCTCCGGCGCCGCCAACATGGTCGGCAAGATCTTTTTCAACGTCGTCAAGACCAAGTGCTTCGTGCTGAAGAAGCAAGTGGAGTGCGTCAAGAGCAGCTGGTGGGGCAACGAGTGCGAGGAGAAGCGGATCGTCAAACGAGCAGCTCTGAAGACGGCGCTGGCGTATTAGCTGGCTCCAGGAAGCTGGAGAGTGGAGAGAGTCGCTAGTCACCGGCCGTGTGCCCAGACGAGTCTGCGCCGCACGCGGCCAGATCTCTGGGTCGGGACCGAGGAGTCTGCGCCGCGCGCGGCCAGATATCGGTCCGGACGGTCGACAGAGCCCGGGCTGTCGCCGACACTGGGCACCACGTTCACCCGACGGACGCGCGGTGGAGAGGCATTCGGAGTCGTGGCAGCCAGGGAGCCTGGTAACTGGGTCATAGAGGAGGCCTGGGGTCGCTCAGGTTCTTGGTGGCGGCACCTCTCGACGTGCTGCTGCTACGTAGTCGCGCGCTGGTCCGCAGCGGCCACCGACACTTTATTCATGACATGTTGTTTCTGTGATAGACCCATTATCGCTGGTGGCTTGCCGCTGCGAGGAGTCCGGCTGCAGTGGCCAGCGCAGGGAGGGGGGCGGGCGGCGACGGCGCCGAACCCGCCGATCCCTCGACGCCGGCATCCGCACTCTCCGCCATGTACTCGCGAGCTACCGCCGCGCCGTCTCAGACCGGGTTCTGGTCGATCCTCACAAGCCCATTCACCTGCGTTCATCTAGCTCATCGCCCATATGTGCGGTCGGGACTGTGCTCAGTGAACTGGCCGGCTCCTGGGTCCATCCGTCGTCGAGACCACTGCGTCATCCAATGGTCAGCATGTTCCATCTTATTTTTGTACGAAAACACCAATACATTATGCAATATGGGCCCGAGGTCTGTGCGTGGTCGTACGCATGACAACAGATGTGGAAGCCATCACACATGTGACTGAACAGTAAGGTGGTGAACCCAGGTATATTCCAAGTACATTCGCTCACCGATCCCGATAGGGTACGGCAGCGCGAAGGAAAGCTATCCTTTCGTGATGCTTTGACAGGACGTCCACTGACAGAAATTATCCGCCGGTACACGAGCATTGCTTTTCAAATGGCCGGCTGTGAGCAGGGTCATTTTTGGGTACTTTAAAGGATACTAATTCCCGATAGCATATGAATTGGACGTCGTGACCCTCACAGTTACAAAATGCCTAACAAATTTGGTTGGATTTGTGTTCCCGTAAACGCTCGTGCAGTTTGCACGGTCCAGCCTTTGTTCAGGCTGTCCGTTCATTTGTTTAGGCCCGGCGCATTCTCCCGCAGATCGATTTTGAAAAGGCCTAAACACCATGCGGACCGTTCACTGGCGTGCTGTGCGGCACAGGCGTCCAGGTCCGTGCTGTAGTCTGGCCGGCCGTTTGGTACAGGCGTCCTGGTCTGTGCTCTAGCCGGGCCGGCCGTTTGGCACAGGTGTCCAGGTCTGTACTCTAGTCTGGCCGGCTGTTTGGTACAGGTGTCCAGGCCTGTGCTCTGGCCTGGCCGGCCGTTTGGCACAGGTGTCCAGGTCTGTACTCTGGTCTGGCCGGCCGTTTGGTACATGTTCCCAGGCCTTTGCTCTAATCTGGCCGGCCGTCCGACACAGGTGTCCAGGTCTGTGCTCTAGTCTGGCCGGCCATTTGGTTCAGGAGTCCAGGTCTGCTCTCACCTGGCCGGCCGTTTGGTGCAGGCGTCCAGGTCTGTGCTTCAGCGTAGCCGGTCGTTTGGTACAGGTGTCCAGGTCTGTGCTCTGGTCTGACCGGCCGTTAGTACAGGCGTCCAGGTCTGTGCTCTGGTCTGGCCGGCCGTTAGTACAGGTGTCCAGGACTGTGCTCTGGTGTGACCGGCCGTTAGCACAGGTGTCCAGGTCTGTGCTCTGGTCTGGCCGGCCGTCAGTAGAGGTTCCAGGTCTGTACTCTGGTCTGGCCGGCCGTTAGTACAGGTGTCCAGGTCTGTGCTCTGGTCTGGCCGGCCGTTAGTACAGGTGTCTAGGTCTGTGCTCTGGTCTGACCGGCCGTTAGTGCAGGTGTCCAGGTCTGCGCTCTGGTCTGGCCGGCCGGTCAGAGTGGAGCGTAACCGGTTACGGGCTAAGCTCACTTTATAGCTAGGTTCATATGTGCCGACCGCAGTAGGACCCATTTCACATCGGCCTACTACATCATAAAACTTAGGTGACAACGTAAAAAAACACGAAACAAACATAGGGAAAATCGCATGGATGTTCAAGTGCTATGCTTTAAGGGGCCTCAGCCCAATGCACATTGTTCAAATGACTTTCTTGATTACTGGAGAAAGAATGACGGGTGATCACAACATGAATACTTAGGAGTGCTCCACATTTATCTGGGGGTTTGAACTGAAAAAGCCATTTTGAAGACCTTCCGGTGCTCTTCACAATACTGCCCTTCTTAAGACTGAAGCCCCTCTAACTTTTGAGCTGCGCGTCCGCGACAAGGGAGGAAGGAATATCGGGGAGAGTGTTTCAGTCACCTTAGCATGCATGAGCCACAGCAAGGTCATTCAAATCTTGCCATTCCATGACCCATGCGGCGATCAAGCCCCCAAAACATAATAATCCAGGCGTTCATGTCTGGCGTTCGTGCGTGCGATTTCCAGATATAACGGTCAACTGGCTCTAAATTAATGTCGTGCAAGGTACGCTGACGTAATCAAACCATGACGCATCGAGGAGCATGTTCACTAACCCGGGCATTGTGTAGTCCAGGACAGTCATTTCCACTTAAAAAGTATACCGATAGTTATGAGTGAGCTTGTTTCATCACGTCTGACGCTTGCTTCAAGATCTTCAAATGTGAAACATTCTTCTACGATGTCCCGCATTCTTTACCGCCTCTAAACGAATTCTCGAAAATTCTATTCATCACAAACATAGATTTTGTTTTGATCTCCAAACTATTTTCAGCTCCCCACACAGTCGCACACGATAGTGACACTGGCGTATTGTAAAAGCATTTGATCACAAACATGTCACGATGGATAAGTTACAAACACGGAACTCGCGCATCACAGGTTACACACACGTCGCCGGCTAGCGTTTCTTTCGTCTTGCACCGGGTGGTTTGGCCGGCGGTACCCTCCGGCACGACGATGTTGCCTTCGGTCAGCTCTTGCTGGCAGATCGGGCGCCGCGTTGGCGATCTTCTGCTGCGCCCTCCAGAAAGAACATCAGGTCCCGCACCTGCTCCTTCAGGTCCAATACCTCCTGCGGCGGCCAGCGCCAAGCTCAAGCTTACACAGGGACAGGGGACGATAGACGATATCCATACCAACAGGCACAACTTGAAGAGCACATCTCGACATGTCGGATGGCTGGGAAGGCGGACAAAAACGTCCACGAATAACGTTTAGGTGCATTGATCAGTGGGAGCACTCCACACAAGAGAAAGCTCTTACAGCCAGACACAAAGAACGTAAACCGACCGACTGGACAATATCTCAGCTAGGTCTGCGGCAACGTTATGAAAGGACGTCCTACATGGAATTTCCAGGACAATAGTAACATGCCGACGAACAATCTAAGCACAAACTTAAACGGCTCTTTAACAGCGCAACGCACGCACCCACACACGCACGTCCGCATACATACATACACGCACGCAAGCACGCATGTGCCCACGTACCACCCACACACACACCCACACACAACCACACACACGCACACGCACACGCGCACGCACACGCACACGCACACGCACACGCACACGCACGCACGCACGCACGCACGCACCACCATAGAGGTAATCAAGAGGGCAGGAACCAGCCCCGCGGACGTTGCCGACAGCAACAGGCGTGGATCAAGACGTGGACCTCAGACTGAGGGTCCAGACGGAGCTGTCCAAACGGGGGCGCCTGCAAGCCGTCACGAAGCCAATGCCCTGTCTTGACGATCAACAATGTCATACGTGGTCTGTAATTCTAACCGAGAGCGGTGCAATTTTTGTATAATCATTCCGCGCGCGAAGAGTAAACGTGCGATTTATCGGCATCACGACGTTTTCGGGTGCGAGCACCGCGGGTGCCCGCTCAGATGGGGGGCGACTCACGAGCACAAACACCAGCTGCCCGCAGGCATTCGCCTTCTTCGCATCCTCATCCCATACCACCCCGTCCCCATATGTTTCTAGTTCGCTTCTGTTCGGCAAGCTTACCTTGTCTTTCTCGGATTTCATGCTGTTCAGGCTGGTCTCCAGCTGTTGGATCCGTTCCTGCCAGCCTGTCTGGTTTTCCCGCAATGATTTGTTGATCTCGCGCTCCTCTTGAAGTTCTTTCAGACACCGGTTCAGTCGTTGTGTCAGCTGCTGGATCTGTGAAGGCCGGCACGCATTCACGGCCTGGTTAGTGTCTCACCCGTAACGCTGCGTTCGTCTCCATAAACAGCCTACAGAGGCAGTTACATAATTTGTTACATCAGTGTTAACATGATATTTATTAACAGTGCATCCATGCCTGTGTCAGAAGACAATGCGTAATTGCTGTCTCAAACAATGACGTTGATTCCAAACGTGTCTCGGACGGTTTTATGGATCCCTCAAATCGAAACCTGCTAACACGGCCCAACTTTTATATAAATATGTATATATATATATATATATATATATATATATATATATATATATATACATATATCCGTTACCTAGATTGCGAACAATGAAATAGTGGGGACCGACCTGCCTCTCGAGACAATGCCGTGCAGCGCTGGGGACAGTGCAACGAAATCACGCTATTTAGATGTGGGTCTGTTTGCATTGTTTGTTTATTTTTGCTGAAAGTTCCCAGCAAAGAATGTTTTACTGAGCCGCAGTAAAAGCAGACAGAGGCGACAGACGGAGTTTGGCATGTTTATTCCATCCGATTTATGACTGCGCCTTTTTCTTCGTGCTTAGGCCAGCACTAAGAAACGACGTGCCGAACATGTATTTTAGATTGCATCAGAACATCAGGCTAAACAGACTAAACTCCGCTGGCCCCGGCACCGGGCCAAAACTCAATGTGCAGGTTTCGGATTGAAACCGCCCATGCTGGCACGTGCCGTGACTGGAATTGCATGGGATCATGATCATGACGTGATTTCAATATGCATCTCCCCATATAAATGCAGCATTTCGTCGTACTGGATAAGCGGTCGGTGCGAGCGCCACTTCCGAGTCGTCACCACTGATTCAGCGTCGGCTGCCGGTACCGTGGCGTCCAACTCCTCCATCTCACGTGAACGCAGTGTCACGCCGAGGACGTGGGAGGAGAGCCAGACGGACGGCGCGGGGGAGGGGCAGGGGGCACGGCAGCGTAACTGCACGGGCGCCAGATGCTGGGGCGGGCGCGCCGGCCGCTACAACGCCACACGCCCCTCCCCGCCCCTCCGCCTCGTGCCCGCCCACCACAAGTCTTGTCTCAAGACGGATCGTGTGCACCAGATGCGGCTTGTGTTGGTTCGGTGTACATGTACAGAAATCTGAACCGCCACATGTTTGGTGTGCTTCGGGAGCCGAGCGCGTCACGTGACACACATATTTGATGGCTGGTAGTAGAGCCGCCACTTGGAGTATACTGTGAGCGGTAATATGTGGCGTTCTTCTCATGACATAAGCCCAAGGAAAATGCGACCGATTCGTGCATATTCTGATTTGTTGTGCTCATCGACATGCCGATTGACGACCTAGATAGTAAGGACCGATGCTGTTGCCATTGGGTTCGCATAGCACATGGCGCCCAGAAGCCGGTGTGGACGGTCGTAAACACAACCCGCTGGAGGCAAAGTAAGGTGGCCTAGAATCTCAAGCAGGGTATCGATTTGTGTAA